TACGCCTGCTCCGAGAGGCGTGCAGCTAAACCCATTACTGTGTTTCAACTCCCTATCCTCATCTCAATTTCTTTGGATTCTAACCCAGCCAGAAACTTGGGAATCTGAATATATTCATGGGGTTGATTTCTCCCGAGACGTGCAGTTGTTGTTTTTTTAAACAGCGTGTTCCTCTTCAGAGATGACATTTCCCAAAGAAAATGGATCAACATCCAATGGAAATGTATTAAGTAACCAGGGCATGTGGAAACATTTTTTTGCCACACTCTTATCTGACTGAAAACTTACAAAGATTACCTTCTCTCTGCACCCTGCCTGCTCATGTAAACAACTCATCTTTGCAGGCATCGGGTCCAGAGGAATAATCCTGCTTGGTTTTAGTCTTTTTGGAAGAGAGGGTTCATCATTGATCTTCTGTGCAGTCCCACATGGGGGACTGTGCAGGAGCAGGCCTGCCTATCGGTAGGTTTTTCTCGCTAAGAGCCTCCAGGGGGCGCTGTATGCCAGAGCTGGAAGACTCGTTCCCCCTCAGGGACCACGTGCTCCCGCACAGCAGTGCCCCTACCCCCTCAGTTCCTCTTCTGCCGCCGAAGGCAAGGCGTAGGTTGGTTCCTTGGAGTCTCCCAGCTTCCGAATGGTGAAGATCATCTGTGCTGCTTCGTCTGCCTTTGAATGCCAGCAGGGCTCAGAAGGCTTTGTTTAAAAAGTGCACTCGCTGTAGTGCCAGAACGATTCAGACAGACGAACGTAACTCGCGTCTGTTTTGTTTGGGGGAGGAACACAACATATCCACATGTAAGGTCTGCCTGAATTTTACCCCTAAAGCCAGGGGAGATAGAGCTTCGAAGCTAAAGGCAGTGTTGTGGGAAAAGGCGCCGAGAGGCTCGGACCCTCCTTACTAGTCGGATACACATGTAATCAGCAATAAATCTGTACATAAAATCCATCTTAGGAAATATAGAAGTCTACAGAATGCATCAAGTCCAAAGTAGATATCCAACACTTTTCCTAGGTAGTGTCCAGTGTTTCAGACTTCTGGTCCTTCCTCAGGAACAAAGAGCCACAATAGAAAGTCTCATTCCAATTTCTTTACAAGACAATACTGTTTCTTTATGGGCCGGGTCTCCTAAGCTTGAAAGTGCCCCTCTCAAGGTTGCTGCTATGTAGAATAGAACCAGAGACCTGGCATATACCAGAGACCCTATGTGTCTCACTTTGCCGAAGTCTCTTTTTGTACATTTACTCTTGCGGGTATTTCAGCACACAGTTGTTTTGCTGCTGCTTGCCATTCTGTATGGTGTGCTGCCCCATTCTGACCTTACCAGGCTTGGTTTCAGAGTCTCCTAGAGATGGCACCGGGGATGTTTGATTCCCCTCCCCAAACACAGAGATTCGGGCAGCATAGGCAGCCGTGCTCCATCACAATCTGGAGTGCCTCAAGCTGACAGTTTCGAGGATCGGGACGGGGGATCTGAGCTTTCCCCAAGAGATTAACAAGGTGCTCTTGGAGTCGTGTAAATCTACTGCCAGAAAATAAATGGGAACGGTTTACTCTTTGGTGTGCAGAGAAGGGCATGTTACCTTCCTCCGTCTCACTTCACGGTATTTCTGAGTACATGTTATTCTTGGAAGAAAAAAAAAGGTGTGGTGTTTTCTTCACTGAAGGTGCACTTAGCAGCAGTTTCTTGTTTCCATGTGGGGATTGAAGGGACCCCCCCCCCCCCATTTTTTACCTAAGCTTTTTCTAATATTTCTCAAGGGTCTCGCCCGGGCTATTTTTGGGCAGGAACGCACAGGAACGGAGTTCCGGCTGGCTCCTGAGTTGGCCACACCCAGCAGGAACCTCATTAGCATAATAGGCCACACCCAACAGCAGAAACTCATTAGGATTGGCTACATTAGGGGTGTGCGGCCTAACATGCAAAGGAGTTCCTGCTACAAAAAAAGGCCCTGGGTTTTGACAACAGACAAGGTAAACAGAATAACAAGCAAAAGGTGGGTGTGGCTGGATAACCACACTTCTGGTAACACGGGGGTGTGGCCTAATGTGCTAATGAGCTTTGCTGGCAGGGGTGTGGCCTAATATGCTAATGAGTTTCTGCTGTTGGGTATGGCCTATTATGCTAATGAGTTCCTGCTGGGCTTTTTCTACAAAAAAAGCCCTGGGTCTCGCTAACCTCTGTCTACCTAGGGGACCGGGGATTCCTCAGTGGTCCCTGCCGGTAGGGCTAATGCATTCCATGGGCAAGCCTTTTGAACCCCTCTCAACTTGTCCTCTGAGCCTGCTCTCCGTGGAGGTTTGTGTCCTGGTAACCATTACTTCTGCTAGGTTGGGGAGCGAACTAGCGGCATTGCAGATCGAGCACTCGTTTTTGATATTTTTCCCTGAGAGAGTGATAATTCATCCAAATCTCAAGTTTTTGCCCAAGGTGGCTTCAAAGTTTCACCTGTCAGAGGAGATTATTTGGTGTAGTGGTTAGGAGTGTGGACTCTTATCTGGGAGAACCAGGTTTGATTCCTCACACCTCCACTCGCAGCTGCTGGATGACCTTGGGCCAGCCACAGTTCTCTCAGAGCTGTTCTCTCAAGGACAGTTCTCTCAGAGCTCTCCCAGCCCCACCTACCTCATAGGGTGTCTGTTGTAAGAAGGGAAAGGAGTCTGTAAGCCGCTCTGAGACTCCGAGTGAAGGGTGGGATATAAATCCAATCTCCTCCTCTTCTTTTGTATTTTCCCCCACAAGACGTTCGGAGGGTGAGAGATGACCTCATTCCTTAGTTGTGAGGAGGGCTTTGTTGTTCTACCTGAAGAGAATGAGAGGGGTTCCGTAAGGACAAGGCATTATTTATTTGTTTCTCGGGACATAATGGGGGAAGAGGGTCTCCCCTCAGACTGTTTTGCGGTGGGTTGTATCCAGGGGTCATTTCGTAGAAAAAGAGGTGTCGGAGCTCATTAGCATAGCTTATTAGCATAACTTATTTGCATATGCCACACCCCCTGACATCACCGGAAGTGTGTCAGAAGGCAACACCCACCGCTCAGGCTCCACTGGACTGTTTTGGATGGCTAGCTATTTGGGGGGGGGGGATGTGCAGATCTGTCCTCGCAGAGGAGGGAGAGCTTGTACCTGAATAAAACTTGGCCTTAAAGGTGCCACGGGACAGTTTTGGGCGCTCTGCAACTTACCTGGCTGCTTCTTGCTCTGACTGAGGGCTGCTGGGAGCAGGGGGTGGGGCTTGTTGCATGTGCCCGCCCCCTGGGCTCTTTACTGCCGGAGCTCCGCTCCTGTGCACTCCTGCAGGAAATGACCCCTGGTTGTATCTACTATTAGGCAGTGTTATGATCTAGGCCACACCCGATGCCCTCTTAAGATACATGCTCATTCCACCAGGGCCGTGGCCTCATCAGCAGCCTTTTGGAGTGAGGTGCCATGAAAGCTCCTCCCCTGCCACAAATTTTGTTAGACTTTAAGTTGCTACTGGACTCTTGCCCTTTTCCACTGCTTAAGCTTGTGAGAGCTGACGCAGTGCTTCAGGCATGGAATCTGCAGAGTGCTGGTGTTAGGTGGTGAGTTCTATATAGTCCCTGCCAATGTTCCCTCTAAGCGGTGGAGTTTTGTGAGCAAAAATTCTACCTTGTGAGCTACTGGCATTAAAGTTGTGAGCAAGTGATTTGGCTACTGCATGAATTAGTTTGCTCTGGAGCAATGTTCCCTCTACGCTGTGGAGTCTTGTGAGCAAAAGTTCTACTTTGTGAGCTATGGGCATTAAATCTGCGAGCAAGCAGTTTGGCTACTGCATCAATTAGTTTGCTCTGGAGTCATCCCTTCCTGAGCTAATACAAAAATCTGTGAACTGGAGGCTAAAAAACTTTGAGCTAGCTCAGACTAACTCAGCTTAGAGGGAACACTGCTCTGGAGCCATCCTTCCTGAGCTAAGACAATAATCTGTGAGCCGGAGGCTAAAAAACTGTGAGCTAGCTCACACTAACTCAGCTTAGAGGGAACACTGGTCCCCGCCCCGGCCTCAAGCTTGTAACAAATTATTACCCGTTGGCTGTCATTAGTTTACTTTTTTGTGTGTGTGTGTTCCAGGACGGCAAAGTGAACGGCGTGACAGACTCCACCAGGATTCTGGGATACACCTTCCTCCACCCGAGCGTGATCCCTCGCCCTCACGTGCAGTCCATCACGTTGACTCCTCAGGACGAGTTCTTCATCCTGGGGAGCAAAGGCCTGTGGGACAGCCTCTCCATCGACGAGGCCGTGGAAGCCGTCCGGAACGTGCCCGAGGCTCTGGGGGCGGCGAAGAAACTCTGCACGCTGGCTCAGAGCTACGGCTGCAACGATAGCCTCAGCGCCGTGGTGGTCCAGCTCAACGTCACCGAGGACAGCTTCTGCTGCTGTGAGCTCAACGGGGTTCCTCCCCCCAGTCCGGGTATCTTCCCCCAGTCGGTCAATGTCGTCATTAAAGACAAGCCTCCCGATGCTTTGGGGATGCCGTCCTCGAGTAGCGGGATGGCCTCCGAGATCAGCAGCGAGATCTCGACCTCTGAAATGAGCAGCGAGGTGGGGTCCACGGCGTCCGACGAGCCCCCTCCGGTAACCTTGAACGAAAACAGCCCGGCCTTCCCTAGCGAACAGCGCTGCATGCTCCACCCGGTCTGCCTCTCAAACTCTTTCCAAAGGCAGCTGTCCAGCGCGACCTTTTCCAGCGCTTTCTCGGACAACGGCCTCGACAGCGACGACGAGGAGCCGATCGAGGGTGTCTTCTCCAACGGCAGCCGCGTGGAAGTGGAGGTGGACATCCACTGCGGCCGGGCCAAGGAGAAGCTGCTGCTGCTGCAGGTGCCCGCGGAGGCCAGCGACGAGGGCATCGTCATCAGCGCCAACGAAGACGAGACGTGCCTCCTGAGGAGGGCCGACCTGGCTGCCATGGGGACCATGGGGCGCCGCCGAGGCAACGGCTCTGTGGCTCCTCAGGAGAGGAGCCACAACCTCATCGAAGTCGCCGCCGATGCGCCCCTCAGGAAAACGGGGGGTTACTTTGCCGCCCCAGCTCAGCCTGATCCGGACGATCAGTTTATCATCCCTCCTGAGCTCGAGGAGGAGGTGAAGGAGATAATGAAACAACACCATGAGCAACAACAGCAGCAACAACAGCAGCAACAACAGCAGCAACAGCAGCAGCAGCATCAACAGCAGCATCAACAGCGGCAATACCACATCGACCAGCTGCCAGATTATTACGACACCCCACTATGACACAGCTTGCTGAAGTGAGTTCAGGAGACATTGTAAGCGGGAGCCTCCTAGGTTCACCTTACGCTCGCCGGGTGCGGGAGGAAGGAATGTTGCCCCCCACCGCCTCCTCCTGGCCACGCGCCCCCCCCCTCTACTGAGAACTGCAGCTGCTTCTTCTTCTGTTGGCTCTAATAATCACCGATTCTCTTTCTAGTGATAACTCCACCAGTTAGAATTAAACTAGTCTAACTCTTTTCCCCTCCCCCCACCCTTTAACATATCAAATGTTTTAAAAAGAAAAACGGAGGGGGGGGTGGAAATTAAGAAGTACAAAAGGTTTAATATATTGCAGAGAGAAACGGATGACGACACTGATGTAATATTTTTTAAAATCGTTTCTTTTTTTTGGGGGGGGGAGTCTGTTTGGAAACAGGGGCGGTCTTGCCAGTGCTAAATGATTGAGTAATATTGTAATACTGTATTTCTTTGAGAGAAAAATAAAAATAAAAAGGCTTTTTTTGGTCTTGAAAATGGATAGACATTTGTAGAATTATGGAGACTAACTCCTAGGAGTTGCATTTACTCTTTCAAGTGGCTTTGAGTCACTCGGATTCACTAATTTTCTCTGAGAGAACAGCTGATTGGGAAATTCCTGTAAATAACTCAGTGTTGTATAGTGATGCTTAAAAAATGTTTTGTAGTCTCGGCAGGAGGACGTAACTCGATAAACTGACATTTTATTCTCTCCCCCCCACACACACCTCCCTGAAGGGGGGCTTTGGCGTGTGTGTCAGGGCTCCCCGTGACAACTGGCGATGCAACCAAATTTGGAGGGCAGGCAGCCATATAAACACGATGCTTTCCCAGCTGGTCAGCTGAGCGGGATGTAGGGGGATTCGGGTTGACCCCTGGTTGCGTCCAGTTGCCATCTGGGTTGGCTGGGCCCCAGTCACCAAGGTAACATTTTGTTCCCTTGTGCAACGGCTGTCAAGCGAATGATGCTTCGGGGGGCCACAGTTCGCATCCAATTAGCAGGGGGGCGGCTATGCAAGCTGCGTTAGGAGACGAGGTGGGTGATTGAGCCCCGGGAACCCAAGTTAACTTCGTCTTTCTTCACTGTTAACTTTTACAGGCATATTTTTACGTGTTCCTCCCTGCTGCCACAACCAGCATGATTGTATAGAGTTCACTTGCTATAGATCATTTACATACCAAGAGTTATATTAAAAAGAAGAATGCACAAATGAACATGTCATAATTTTTGTTATAATAAATATAAAAATTTACAAATAATCATAAGACTACTGTAATGATTTTTTTCCCCCTGTCAGGAATAAGATCCACAAATTCTTCCAAAATCTTCATGTATAGGGTTTCCAACTGGGTTGGGAAATACCTGGAGATTTGTGGGCAGAACCTGGGGAAGGGAGGGGTTGTAGCAGGGTGAAGGTAAAGGTTTTCCTTCCCCGAAAGCCAGTCGAATCTGACTCTAGGGTTGCGGTGCTCATCTCAGTTTCCAAGCCGAAGAGCCAGCGCTGTCCGAAGACGTTTCTGTGGTCATGTGGGTACAGTGTCGTAAAGGCCACCTTGATGTCGATAAAACTGTCCCCTGTGTAGTGTTTCAAGAACATCTGCAAAAGTGGAGCCTTGTGGGTAACGGAACACATATGAAATTGCCTTATACCCAGTCATCCCATTGGTCTTCCAGTCTCCGCGTTGTCTCTTGGTTGGTAGCGGCTCTCCAGGGTCTCAGGGAGATGTTTTCCGCGACCTGACCCCCAAAACTGGGGATGGTTGGGACTGAACCGGGACCTTCTGCATGCGAGGCATATAACTCTACCACTGAGCCACAGCCCCACCTCAGCTAGTTATAATCGGGGTGTATAGAAGAAGAGTGGGAAGGGGCTACATGATGAACATGTAGTCCCTCCCACTCTTCTCCTATACACAGCGCCTGAAAATGAATCAGCTCTGAACATAAGAACATAAGAGACGCCAATGTTGGATCAGGCCAAAGGCCCATCTAGTCCAACACTCTGTCACACAGTGGCCAAAAATACCAGGTGCCATCAGGAGGTCCACCAGTGGGGCCAGGACACTAGAAGCCCTCCCACTGTTGAACCCCCCCCCCCAAGCACCAAGAAGACAGAGCATCCCTTGCCCCAGAGTCCCTATCTATACCTTGTGGCTAATAGCCACTGATGGACCTCTGCTCCATATGCTTATCTAATTCTGCTTTTGGGGCAAGCCACTGTCTGTCCAAATCACAAACAATGGTTCCTTGCCTGCCCTCCACTGCTAAAGGACCAACCACCCACCAGGTTTGTCTGGCCTGTGTCTCATGAAACTACATGCAAGGCCCACCGGACTCCCTGGATCGCATGCCTTCTGCTGCTAGTATCTTGCTCAGCATACCACTCTGTGCAGGCCAGGTTTAAAATGTGTGCCAAAAAGCATCTCTCCATCTCAACATCCCGCAGAAACCTAGAGAAATCTGTGCCAGGCCCCCCCCCCCATTTCCTTCACTTTCTTAGGAGGAATACAGCAGCCAGAGATTGCTGGTTGTCTCCCCCCCACCCCCACCCCGAAAAATTGCTGCATTATGTAGAACTGCTACCCAAAAGCGTCGTCTCTGAGCAGTTTTAGAAGTAAGTCGATGTTTCAACAGTGGGTGCATTTTGTTCTCTGGTCTTGAAATAAAACCCCAAGAAACAAGCAGCGATGGAGGTATTCTGCAGCAACTCAGCGGCAAAACTGCAGTTGTACCAAAAAAATGTTGCTAGATTACACGGGGGTGGGGGGGAGGACTTGCAGGCGGCTTCTATGGTTACCTTGAAGTCTGAAAAGTGTATTCCAGAGTGGGTAATGGATTGTAAGCACTCTGCTTGCAAGTTCAAACGGTGACACACTAAAACCCCATCCACATTCATAAGGAATGAAGTTATTTCCATTGCATGGCATGATTTATCGCTCCTGGTAAGATCCAAGTGTATCTTCCTAGAATTTAAGTTTTGTACTGTGGTGACTAATATACCTTGTGGTGACAAAACTAAGAATGCATTGCAGACCTATCTTGAAGTCAATGGTTTCAGTATGTGAATTTTGGTCTGTTCTGTGTATATCTGTCATGGCTTCAGTTCTGGGCACGTTACAGTAGCTATGTTTACATATGTGTTGGGTAGCCAGGTACCAAATTGGTTCTGTTCCCCCCACACACACACACACACACACCTGAGGGCTCTTTGAGAAAGGAACTGTGGCACATTCGGCTTCATTTTACTGTCTGTTACTTTTTTTGCTTTTTAGGGATATGACACACTATCCGTGTTCCCTCTAAGATGAATTAGTGTGAGCTAGCTAACAGTTTTTTACCCTCCGGCTCACACATTTTTGTCTTCATTCAGGAAGGAGGGCTTCAGAGCAAACTGATTGATGCAGTAGCCAAATCACTCGCTCACAACTTTCATGCCAGCAGGTCACAAAGTAGAATTTTTGCTCACAAGACTCCGCAGCTTAGAGGGAGCATTGCACACTAGGATTTTTTTAAAATTATTTACATTATGTATAATCTGCCTCTGTCACAGGTACTCACCGGATTACACAGTGAGTCAGTATAATTAACAGGATGGGATTTTCAATAAACAGTGCAATAAGATTAGGGTTATAGAACCCACCGGAAGTCTAAAAACAGAACTGAAGCCAAAGCATAAGCCAGTTTAGTGTACTGGTTAGGAGTGCAGACACTAGTCTGGGAGGACCGGGTTTGATTCCCCGCTCCTCCACATTCAGCTGCTGGTGTGACCTTGGGTCAGTCACAAGTTCTTTCAGAGCTGTTCTCTCAAGATCAGGTCTTGAAAGTGCTCTTTCAGCCCTGCCTACCTCACAGGCAATGTTCCCTCTAAGCTGTGGAGTCTTGTGAGCAAAAATTCTGCTTTGTGAGCTACCGGCATTAAAGTTGTGAGCGAGCAATTTGGCTACTGCATAAATCAGTTTGCTCTGGAGCCCTCCTTCCTGAGCTAAGACAAAAAGGTGTGAGCCAGAGGCTAAAAAACTGTGAGCTAGCTCACACCAACTCAGCTTAGAGGGAACACTGCTCACAGGGTGTCTGTTGTGGGGAGGGGAAGGGAAAGGAGATTGTGAGCTGCTCTGAGACTGATGGGGTATAATGCAATCTCTTCTTCTATTAACATGACACATTAAATGATGCAGATTTCCACAGCACAATCGTAGTTTGAGCAAGTTTGACACAATAGTATAGACCAGGGGTGTTAACATACAGCCCGTGGGCCAGAACTGGCCCATCCAAGGCTCTTATCTGGTCCACGAGCAACTGATTACCTTTATTGCCGGATGACAGAGGCCGACCATTATGCCCCTGTGCACTGTCCCAGTGCTAATGCGGTGGAAGTAGGAAGGTGGGCACCAGGAAGATATTGTAAGAGAGCACTCAGGTGTGTAGCCGTTAGAAGTACTTTAAAAAGTTTATAGCAATAAGGGAACGGTAAAAAGAAAGTTAAAATTAGTTTAATAGTATATTGTTAAGTGTTCTAAGTTGAAGCAGGTGAAGACAATTAATATTTAAATACATAAGTATTAATAAAGTGCAATAGGTGTGTAGCTGTGCTGGTCTGAAGCAGCCGAACAAAGTCTGAGTCCAGGGCCACCTTTAAGACCAACAAGTTTTATTCAAGGTATCAGCTTTTGTGTGCAAGCACACTTCTCGCACATGGAAGCTTATACCTTGAATAAAACTTCGTTGGTCTTAAAGGTGCCCCTGGACTCAGACTTTGTTATGTAAGGAAATACTGTAAGAGTGTTAATGTTTTAAGCATGTCTGTATTTTGAGTAAAAAATAATATTGTTAATTGGGCTTGCCTGTGTCCTTTATAACGCTTATATATCTGGTACCTAGCATTAGATTTCATGGCACGCATGGCCCAGACGGAAAAAGTGACATTTATGTCAGATCCAGCCCTCATAACAAATGAGTTTGACACCTCTGGTATAGACCAGAGTCCCTAATAAATTTTCTAAATAACTTTGTGCATCGTTAGTACAGTGTAAGTCTGCGTAGAAATGGCCTCTTGAAGAATTCAGTTTTGCACAGATTGCGGAAAGCCGGGAGAGAGGGCGCCTTTCTTGCAGGCTGCTTCATAAAAGGTGGGGGCCACCACGGAGAAGGCAGAACTTAGGTCAAGAGCGGACAGTCGAGTCCGAGTCTTCGCGACCCCATGGACCAGATCCCGCCAGGCCCTCCTGTCTTCCGCTGTCCTCTGAAGTTTGCTCAATTTCATGTTCGTTGCATCTATGACACTGTCTAACCATCTCATCCTTTGCCGTCCCCGTCTTCTTTGACCTTCAGTCTTTCCCAGCATCAGGGTCTTCTCCAGTGAGTGCTCC